TATCTCATTGTGGTTTTGATTTGTATTTCCCTGATGATGAGTGATGTTGAACATTTTTTCATATGTTGGTTGGCCATCTGGATGTCTTCTTGGAGAAGTGTCTATTCATGTCTTTAGCCCATTTCTTCACTGGATTATTTGGTTTTTGGGTGTTGAGTTTGATAAGTTCTTTATAGATTTTGATACTAATCCTTTATCTGATATGTCGTTTGCAAATAATTTCTCCTATTCCGTCAGTTGCCTTTTAGTTTTGCTGATTGTTTCCTTCACTGTGCAGAAGAAACTTTTTATTTTGATGAGGTCCCAGTAGTTCATTTTTGTTGTTTCCCTTGCTTCCAGAGACGTGTTGAGTACGAAGTTGTTGCAGCCGAGGTCAAAGAGGTTTTTGCCTGCTTTCTCCTCGAGGATTTTGATGGCTTCCTGTCTTACATTTAGTCTTTCATCCATTTTTAGTTTATTTTTGTGTACAGTGTAAGAAAGTGGTCCAGGTTCGTTCTTCTGCATGTCACTGTCCAGTTTTCCCAGCACCACTTGCTGAAGAGACTGTCTTTATTCCATTGGATAGTCTTTTCCTGCTTTGTCAAAGATTAGTTGGCCATACGTTTGTGGGTCCATTTCTGGGTTGTCTGTTCTGTTCCACTGATCTAAGTGTCTGTTTTTGTACATCATTGTTGTTCCTTTTGAGGGTACATCTCGGTATGAACTTACTACCTAGGGGCACCTGGGTGGCTCAGTCAGTTAAATGTCCAGTTTGGGCCCAGGGCATGATCTCACAGTTGGTGGGATCGAGCCCTGAGTCAGGCTTTATGCTGACAGCATGGAGTCTGCTTGAGATTCCCTGTCTCCCTCTCTCTCTGTTCCTCCCCTCCTTGTGTGTGTGCTCTCCCTCCCTCTCTCTCTTAAAAATAAATAAACATTAAAAAAAACAAAAACAACTTACTATCTGGTTTGACATTCATCTGTTCCAAAGAAAGATTTTTATAAGGCTTTGTTTCAGAAAGGTTTTAAGACTATTATTTTCCTTTTACACATACATACCCTCTGCTTTCCAATGTCTTAAAGTATCTTTAGCCTCTAAGCTGTTTTTTTTCCTATTGCTGTTTTTAAGTGTGTGACAGCATGTTTGTGTTGTGTCTTTTGTGCTATCTCACAGTAACTGCCTATTGTTTTTACCAGCCTCTGAATGCCTCCAGTAGTTGAATAGTGGAAATGGGAATATGGAAGTTTAGCCTAAAAGGAAAGTGGAAGAGGGTGACCCTTTCTAAAATGACAGGTGGAGGGGCACCTGGCTGGCTCAGTTGGTAGATTATGCGACTCTTGATCTTGGAGTTGTGAGTTTGAGCCCCACATTGGGGGTAGAGTTTACTTAAAAATAATAATAGGTGGAGAATGTTTGATGTTTGAAAGATGAGAGCTGCACACAAGTAGGAAATTAGAAGGTATGGTGAGTACACAGATAGGAGTATTTGATCTATAAGGATGGTGTGAAGGGGATGCAGATAAACTGGGATGAGCTTAAAATGGACTCTGAATACTTTGAAACTAATTTTGGAAACATTCTCTGGGCAGCCAGGAGCCAGAGAAGGTTTTAAAGTAAGAAAATGACAGTTATCCAAATCAGAATACAGAATTTTATATTCCGTTTGTACCTGTCACAGCTATATACAAAACACAGAAATTGTCACAGAAAACAAACATGGAAAGAACTGTCTTAAAATGTTAATACTGTTCTCTCTGTGGTTGGGCTTTGGGGGATTTTTTTCTCTTTTTTTATTGTTTTATTTATTTTGAGAGAGAGAGAGAATCCCCAGCAGGCTATATACTGCCAGAGCCCAGTGCGGGGCTTGAACTCACAAACTGTGAGATCATGACGTGAGCCGAAATCAAGAGTTGGATGGCCAACCAACTGAGCCATGCAGGCGCCCCTACTTTTTCTCTTTTTTTAATTTTAATTTTTTAAATACTTTTTCACGTTTTCTCTTGTTGATTAGTGTTGCTTTTCCAAAAATTTCTGTTACTTCATGATTGCGGAGCAAAAATAAATCATCACTGTCACGGCATTGTTTTCATTGTGAAATCTGTCACATCCATTGCTTCCAGCTCTCCGTTTACTGAAGGGGTAGATGTCCTAAGAACTTCCTCCTGTGAGGAAAGGTGAATGCTGAAGAAGGCAGGACTTTCAGAAAGCATCTGATCTTCAGCTTGGCCTTATCTTCCAAATTATTTTAGGATTGCTAAAGATTCACTCCAGCCAATCCAATCCCCAGCAGGCTGTCCTGACGATCCCCAGCCAGCTCAAGCCACTCAGTGTAAATACGTCTGGAGGTGTACAGACTATACTGATGCCTGTGAATAAAGGTGAGTCCTTCACCCACGGGTTGCGGCTGCCACCAGGACTGTTGGCAGCGGCGTCTGGGGGGTGGCTCCCAGGCTCCCCTCCCCATATGGTCTTCCCTTTAGCCATCAGAGTTGTCCTTGGCATTTTGAACTCTGGGACACCGTAAACCCCAGATGACCCATTGGCTTCTAAGTAACTCCCCATTTCTAAAGTTGAGTAGCAGGGGAACATTTTAAGTGTTCAGGAGAGTTCCAAGCTAATTGGATTTTTATTTTCTTAGTGACAAGCCCCCATTTCCACAGTGGAAGATAATAAAAGCTCAGTTACCCTGGTGCTAATAGTAAACAGCCTACCCTACCTTGTCACATCACTGTATTAATAAGGACCTTTTTAATGTACTGAAATTGTTCTTGTGCCTTTAGTCTAAAATGGGGCCATCACCTGGGAGTTAGATCATCATTAGAATGGTTTCTGTATTTCTTACATCCTCTCCCTTTTTTTCCCTGTTAGTGGTTCAGTCATTTTCTGCCAACAAATCACCTGCCATTCTGCCTGTAGCTGCCCCAAACCCAGTTGTCCCCAGCTCTGCTCCAGCAGCTGTTACAAAAGGTAGGTGTTTCTCACGGTATTTTTGCCCAGAAGTTTCGTGCAAGGCGTTACTATAATCTGGGTCCCTTCAAGTTTCAGCATCTGTGAGTCAGTCCCTTCAGAAATACTTAGAGTGTTTTTAGAGTAGACCTGACATTGAGGGAAATGCAGAGATGTTTAAAGCAGCATTTCTGTCCTCCAAGAACTTACAATCAGGTTGAACTGAGTTGTAAACAGCAGGCAGTGATCGATAACTCCAGGATAAGTGAGCTGGAAAATGTGAATGTGAAGTGTTTTGGTCTAGGATGTCTGGTCAGGGTTGGTGGGGTGTGGAGTGGGTGTGGAGGTGTAGGACTTTGTGCGGGGCAAGGATTATAACCTAGACTTAAGAAGGGTGAAGCATGTTAAGCTGTGGAGGGGGAAGGGGCGTGCCAGATTGAGGGAGCAGTAGGGTTTGTTTGGGGGAAGTAAACCAATTAGGGGATTCACCTAGGGTGTATCGTTGTAAAGGAGCTTTAGGTGGGGCCAAACTTTGGCAGGCTGGCAACGGGGACATTTCTGACTACTAAGTAGATTGAGATAGTGCAATGGGTTAGAGCAACACATTTTGATATCTGTAACATCTGTAATAATGATAGCTACCATGTGTTAAGAGCCTGAAGGATACCAGGAACCTTGCTGGCTACTTTATATATATCACTAATTATCACAGTCCTTCAGGATAGCTATTATGCCCGTATTACAGATGAGGAAAGTGAAGTTTGGAGATAGTAAGTATCTACTTCCCAAATCTTGAAAGTTAAAAAGCAGTGTAGTCAGAATTTGAAGTAGGTCTGCTTTTCAGGCATGCTGGATCTTTCACAGTAGTCTTGAAGAAAGGTGAATTTGTTACTTACAGCATGACCAACTAAAACATGGATTTGCCGATTACAGTCCCTGCCTGTTTTTAAAAAAAGGTTTTTTTTAACATTATTTATTTTTGAGAGACAGAGCATGAGTGGGGGAGGGGCAGAGAGAAGGAAACACAGAATCCGAAGCAGGATCCAGGCTCTGAGCTGTCAGCACAGAGCCTGATGCGGGGCTCGAACCCACAAACTGTGAGATCATGACCTGAGCCGATGTCGGATGCTCAGCCGACTGAGCCACCCAGACGCCCCTCCCCTGCCTGTTTTTTAAATAAAAGTAATTGGCACCCAACCATTCCCATTTATTTACATATTATCGGTGGATGCTCTGCCACCTCAGAGTTAATCAGTTGCACCCGGGGTCATATGACCCACAGAGCCTAAAATATTTACTGGTTAGTCCTTTATAGGAAAAGTTTGCCAACCTCTGATCAAAAGATTGCTAATAAAAGAATTGGATTAGTCTGGACCAGTAGTTCTCCTCAATAGTAGTTATATTTCATAGGCCTTCCTTATGCAGATTCTGATTCAGTTAAATTTTTTTTTAGGTTTATTTATTTTGAGAGAGAGACAGTGCAAGTGGGGGAAGGGCAGAGAGAGAGGGAGAGAGAGAATCCCAAGCAGGCTCCATGCTGTCTGTCCAGAGCACGACATGGGGCTCACAGTCAGGAAACTGTGAGATCATGACCTGAGCTGAAACCAAGAGTCAGATGCTCAAGCGAATGAGCCACCCAGGCACCCCTGACTCAGTTAATTTTGGACTGGGGTCAGGGCATCTGTTTTTATTTTAATTATAAAGTTTTGTATATTGAAATGCAAAGATAATTAGCATACCATTTGATGAGTTTTATTATAAACCCATGTAACCCATTTTCCGTTCAAGATACAGAAATTTTCATCACCTGTGCTCCTTCCAGTCAGTTTCCAACCCCTATAGGCAGCCACTGTTCTGATTTCCCTTAGAATAGACTAGAATAGAATAGTGTGTCTGCTTTTTTTTTTTTTAACTTTATATGAATGGGAGCACATGCATTCTTCCATGTCTGGTTTTATTTACTCACCATAATATTTTTCAGATTCATATTTATTGTACCTGAATAGTATTCCACACTGTAGGAATACATCATAATTTGTTTATTCTTTCTCCTATTGGTGGACATTAGGGTTGTTAACAGTTATTATGTATAAGTTTTTAAGAGCATATGTTTTCATTTCTCTAGTAGAATAGTTGTGTCAACCTAAAAATGCTAACAGTATAATTCTATAGTTGTTTGAGGGCCAGATTAATATAAGTGTACTTGCACCTGTAGAACTAGAACTTTTTCTGAAGACTTCCTTCTTTGTCTTTTTTTTTTTTTTAGTTTTTATTCTTGAGAGAGACAGAGTGTGAATGGGGGAGGGGCAGAGAGAGAGGAAGACCAGAATCTGAAGCAGGCTCCAGGCTCTGAGCTGTGAGCACAGAGCCTGACGCAGTGCTTGAACTCACGAACCATGAGATCATGACCTGAGTGGAGGTCAGACGCTTAACCAACTGAGCCACCCAGGCACCCCCTTTCTGTTTCTTGAAGTCTTGAAATCACTAGGGAGTGGGGGAATATATACTGCCAACAATGAAATTAGCAAGGTCATTTGATACAAGTCAATACATAAAAATTTAATTTTAAGTAGAAATTAAGTGCTAGCAACCTACTAAACAGTTCTGAGAGAAATTAACAAGACCTAAATAAATGGAAGGAGGATAGTCCATTATAAACATAATAAGTTATAAATACAGTTGACCCTTGAACAACACAGGTTTGAACAGTGCAGGCCCCCTTATACACAGATTTTTTTTGCAATACAGTACTGTAAATATTTTCTCTTCCTTATGATTTTCTTAATTTTTTTTGTCTCTAGCTTCATTATGGGAACACAGTATATAATATATATAACATGCAAATATGTATTAATCAATTGTGTTTTTGGTAAGGCTTCCAGTCAGTAGTACGTTGTTAATAGTTAAGTTTTTGGGGAGCCAAAAGTTAAACACATGGAGTTTTGACTGGGGGGGGGGGGTTGACTCTCCAGTCCTGCAAGTTGTTCAGGCCTCAACTAATTGCTTACAAATATGATAAATTATGTTAACTTACTAAAAACATGATGTGTTATCCTTTCTCCCCCCCCCAAAAATGGACAGGCTAAATCTAAAATATACGTGGGAATGCAAAGGCCTAGAGTAGCTGAGGCAGTTTTGAAGAACAAAAAACTAGGGAACTTGGACCGTCAGATATATATACACTTTAAAGCTACAGCGAGGGGTGCCTGGGTGGCTCAGTCGGTTGAGCGTCCGACTTCAGCTCAGGTCATGATCTCACAGCTCGTGAGTTCGAGCCCCGCGTCGGGCCCTGTGCTGACAGCCTGGAGCCTGCTTCAGATTCTGTGTCTCCCTCTCTCTCTGCCCCTAACCCACTCGCATTCTGTCTCTGTCTCTCTCAAAAATAAAAATAAACATTAAAAAAAAATTAAAAAAAAAAAAAGCTACAGAGATAGGGGCGCCTGGGTGGCTCAGTCGGCTAAGCGTCCGACTTCGGCTCAGGTCATGATCTCACAGTTTGTGAGTTTGAGCCCCGCATCGGGCTCTGTGCTGACAGCTCAGAGGCTGGAGCCTGCTTCAAATTCTATGTCTCCCTCTCTCTGCTCTTCCCCTGCTCATGCTCGGTCTCTCTCCTTCAAAATAAATAAAAACATTAAAAAAAAAAAACTTAAAGCTGCAGAGATAGTGTTGAATTGGTTCAAGAATAAACAGAATAATGGAATGGAAAAGAGAACCCAAAAATAGACTTCCACGTATATGGTCACCTGATTATGACATTCAGTAGGGAAAGGATGTTCATTACCATACATAATGCTGGGTTAATTAGATACATCCATTTGGGAAAACACTGAATCTTACACCATAAACAAAAATTAATTTGAGTTGGATATAGAGCTAAATGTGAAAGGTAAAACAATAAAGCATCTAGAAGAGAATATCTTCATGACCTTGGGCAAAGGTGCTTTGTAAACAGAACAGGTAAGAAAACTAGCCATAAAAGAAAAGGTCCATAACACTGGGAACCTCACTTCATTAGAGGTACAAAATTAAGAGTGAAAGTCAAGCCACATACTCAAGATAGTGGTGATTGATACATCTAACAAAGGAGTTCTAGCTAGAGTATACATACGCAGACCATCGAAAAATCAATATGAAAAATATGGACACTAACTTTTCTTTAAAGAACGGTGAACAGACACTGCACTGAAGAGGATATCCAGATAGGTCATAAAGATATGCAAAGTTGTTCAATGTCATTAGTCATCAAGGAAATACAAATTAAAGCCATAGTGAAATGCTGTTACATCACCAAATAAAACACTGGCCATTCAAGTTTTGGCAAAGATGTGATGCAGCTGGAACTCACATGCCCTGCTGGTGGGACTAGAAATTGATATAATCACTTTGGAAAGCAGTTTGACATTTTCTGATCTGCCAAACTGCAGGTTAGATTCTAATAAATCTTACATTTATTAGATTAGGTTAGATTTCTAATTAGATTAGATTTCTAATAAATTTTATTAGATTCTAACTAATAAATCTCCTACATCTGCCTTCCATTCCAGCAAATACACTTCTAGGAAGTGCACACATATGTCCATCCACCAAAAGACATATACAGGAACGTCCATTGCATTGTTGTTTTTAATAGCTAAAAAGATGCTGATGCAAAGGGTTATGTGCAGTAAGATTCCAGTTATGTGAAATTCAAAGTGGACAAAAGGTGATTATCTTTGGCAGGGAGGAACTACCAAAAGCATAGGGAGCCTAGTTGAGGACTAGAAATAACTCTATATCTTGATTGGAGTGGTGTACATGGGTGTAGACATAGGTAATTGAACCATACCCTTAATATTTGTACATCTTTTGCAAGCTATGTATCAATAAAAAGGAAGAGAGATGTATAGAGATGTATTAGTAGATCTCATTTGTAGACTCTTGTTACATAGGAAAGTACTGAAGGATGTTAAGTATGGAAATGACACTAAAAAGGTCACTTAGGAAAATTTTCTGGTCCGTATATGCAAGGTGAGTTGAAAGGGAAGGATTGAAGGCAAGGAAGCTGATGCAGAAGCAGAAACTGTGTGGTCATGGTTTTTTGACCAAAAAGACGCAGAAATACAGGGAGACACATGCACCTGAGACCTTGCTGTCTTCTGTCAGTAGATTTAGTAAGATTAAAGCCTAATGTGATTGGCTTGGTTATTTCCAAGCACAGCAGATCTGAATTTTGCTTATGCCTTGTGTCTCAGAACACTAATGCTGAAAGTTGATAAACTTAGCTGGAGAGATGATATCCAATAGGATATTAGAACATGCCAGCATTGTATTTTAATGTGTGTGTGTGTGTGTGTGTGTGTGTGCGCGCGCGCATGTGCGCACGGGCACGCACGCAAGGGGGGGGGATCTCACATAGTGGTGTGGTTGGCCCTTTAAGAAATATATAAAAAGCCATTTTATTGCCTGCCTTGTCATGAGCCTAGAGTTGCTCCCCCTGAGACCCAGGGTAACAGTTCTTCCCTTGTCTGCTGATCCTGTGATGATGGGTGCCATCTCAGTCCCCTGGCTGTGTCTCTGCAGCAGCTGCTGTGGCAGTTTCCTCCCTGAGTTTCAGTGGAAGAGCTTTTGTTTCTGCCTGCACATGTCCTTCCATCATTGAAGGCTTACAGCTCTCTTTTGTTGCTCTTCCCTTGTAGTAAAGACTGAACCAGAAACGCCTGGGCCAGGCTGCCTCTCTCAGGAGGGTCAGACACCAGTGAAAACAGAAGAAAGTTCTGAACTGGGAAACTATGTCATTAAGTAATTATTTCAGTCCTTTCTAAGGGAGTTGTGATTTTGGTGTTTTTATGATACTTCTTAAAACCCATTCCTGTGACAGCTGAGTATGTGCAGAGTTGTGTGTGTATAGAAGTAAGCCCCTTGATGGGTGGGACCTTCTGTCCATGTGCAGTTGAACAAGTGTTACCGCTTGATGCGCAGCTGAGGAGTCTTCAGTTAATACACTGATGTCACCTAGGGGCGGGAGGCACTGGATTTGTTGCCTTGGAAGCCTCAGGTGGTACAGATCTCCCTCCAGTGGAGCTTGACAACATGTACTTTCTTTGCTGAATCCTTGGGTATGAAATTTCTGTGGGGTAATTACTCAGGTGTGTATACATTTTATGTCTGAGTATCCATATACCTGCCTAACTTAAACAGCTGCCTTTTCATGGGCCATACACAGTCATTGCTTTTTCTAAAAACATTTCATGAGATTTTCTAATTTCCAAATTGGGAACCCACCTCTGCCCATGTATTTTGAAGCATGTCAAATTACTGGGGACAATAGAAACTTAGCCACTTTCACATGATAGGTGACAGCAAGAGCTGTAATAACCCTAAGAATAGGCATTTGAATATAGAAAATTTTCTGCTCTAGTAGCATTGAATTGAAAAAAGTATGTGATTATTTAATTTTAAAACATAAAATTAAACATATTTGTGTAATTTGCCATTCCTGGGGTCTCATCTGGTTTATGTTTAAAAGGCTATCCATGAAAGGAAAGACCTGCCTAGTACAATTGGTTATGTTTTAATTCCCTTGGAAAGAGGATATGTACATAAATTCATGTGTGTATGTGTATGTGCGTATGTGTGTGTATATATGTGGCTAGAAACCACTGTGTGTGTTTACTACCTTAATTTTTTTTTTTTTTATTCTCAGGATAGACCATTTAGAGACTATCCAGCAACTCTTAACAGCAGTGGTAAAGAAGATTCCCTTAATCACTGCAAAAAGTAAGATAATTATACTGAATATATGGATGCATTTTTAAAGCTGTGAACTACTTGGTTTATTGGATCAACTTAAATCATATTGTAGTGTAAATTAATACTGATGTAGTAGTTATCTTAGGAGGTTTTAGTTACAACTATAGTTCATTTGCAGGATTTTAGAATTCATAATATCTTGGTCAACCAGTTGGCCTTTTACTGTTAACACTATGATCTATGGAAGGAATTTTTTACATTTGTTGTATGTAAATCTTAGTAAATCTGTTGTATAAAACTGCATTAGTTTTTAATGCTTATTAAGGCAGATTAGTCTTTGCCTGCAATGTGCCAGACTCTGTGCAGGCTCAGTACATTTACTGTCTCTTGTGGCATAGGTGGTATTATCTCCATTTTACAGATGAGAAAACCAAGGCTAAGTAACTTACTCAAAGATCACCAGCGATGGGTAGTGAGGGAGGATACTAACCTAGGTCTGACTCTAAAGCCATTAATCTTTTATCCCTCACTATCCCTCACTTTGTACAAATGCACAATTGTCAAGACTCCCAACAGTGAAGTCTGTTCTGTCACTACCCATCGTCAACAAGACTGAAAAATTTGCCTCTCAGTTCTTTGGACAGAATCAGCTGCCTTTAGGGGGCAGATAGCCTGTTGATACTCAGGCATATGCTCTTGGGCAAGATGAGTACGAACATTTAAACTTCTTTTTTTTTTTTTTTTTTTTTTAAAGTTTATTTATTTATTTTTGAGAGTGAGAGGGAGGGAGGGGCAGAGAGAGAGGGATAGTCCCAAGCAAGCTATGTGCCATCAGCACAGAGCCCGATGCGGGGCTTGAACTCATGAACTGTGAGATCATGACCTGAGCCGAAATCAAGAGCTGACGTTCAACCAGCTGAGCCACCCAGGCACCTTGCAAACATTTATAGGGAAGGGATGAAATAGATTATCATGTTACATTCATGGGAATATGAAAATGACAGGCCAAGTACAGCCTGCCCTGATTATTTTTTTCTAACAGCAAAGAAATTACCTCTTTTTTTCTTGGTTGAAGTCAGGGGGGTCATTCTCAGGTAGTTCAAAAGAAACTTTCAAGGACATTTTCCTAGCCTGGCAGAAAAAAATCCGAAATCTGTTTTTTATTTTTACTTAAAAAAATTTTTTTTAATGTTTGTTTTTGAGAGAGACTGCACACGAGCGGAGGGGCAGAGAGCGAGGGAGACACAGAATCTGAAACAGGCTCCAGGCTCTGAGCTGTCAGCACAGAGCCCAACGTGGAGCTCAAACCCACAGACTGTGAGATCATGACCTGAGTTGAAGTTGGATGCTTAACCGACTGAGCCACCCCAGTGCCCCAAAAATGTTTTTTAAAAACTTAGATACAAATATAGAATACTAGAACTGGAAGGCAGGTTAGAGACTATCTGTCCCAATGGTCTCATTTTACAGATCAGAGAACTGAAGCCAGAGGGGTGCTATAGGATGCCTGACACCACTTAGTTCATGGCAAGGCCAGGGCTAGACCTCAGACCTCATGTTCCTAGTGGAGTGCCATCTCCACTGATTTTAATAGGTAGTCGACTGCCATGAAGGTTGCTCTGCCAAAGAAGCCGATTTCCCAGAGACTGATGTTGTTTTGTATATCCATTTTGCCCAGTAAGGAATGTATATCCAATAAATAGGTCTAAAGAAACTTTGGGACATATCCCTCGCAGATAAGGTCTGATTTAAATCATAGCAACTTTATTCATAGAGTTTGCTGGATATGTGCATTCTAGGTGAAGATGCCAGCTGTTTTTCTGCGAAGTCTGTGGAGCAGTATTATGGCTGGAACATTGGAAAAAGGAGAGCTGCTGAGGTAATCCTTTGTCTGCCTGTTTGTTACACAGGCTGCCACTGAGTCTGGGACGAAAATAACCAGAACACATGTGCATTCAGGCTGCTTCCATAAACCTTGTCTTCTGGAACAGTGACAGAATTTGCAACATATTTTATTAAATATTTAGTGGTAGAATTTTTTTCCTCCATTGAAAATCTCATTTTTTAAACACTTGGAGCTAGCCTTTGAAAGGTCTACTTGTTTATCCTGCATTGGTAAAAATTTCTAAAAATCTTATATGAAATTCAGTATATTAAAATGAAACCAGGTATTTGTTGAGTACTTCCAATGCAGCAGCTCCTATGCCAGATGATGGGGTTACAGGAGAAATTGGCACGTGTGAAGGCATGCTCTGAGGAAGTTGGTGTGATGGGTTTGGGGAAGACTGGGGGAAAAGGGCAGTAGGAGACCATGTGAAAAGCCTAGGAGTTTCATTGTTATTTCATAAACATTTGATATACATTCCTTGACTTCTTTTAAAAAAATTTTTTTTAATGTTTATTCATTTTTGAGAGAGATAAGAGACCGAACATGGGGCGGGGGGGGGG